CTTCAGCTGGCAAAGTAATAAGCCAAATGCGTCCACACAAAAGAACAGCAGTCAACAATAAGAAGGAACAAACTACAGACACATGCCACATGGTGACTCTCGAGCACATTATACTAAGGTTAAAGAGGTCATATTTAAAAAGCTACATATTTTATGATTCCAGCAATATGACATTCTGGGAGAGGCAAAACTATAGGGACAGAAAACACCTCAGTGTTTGCCCGGGGCTGGGGGTGGAAGTAGAGGTTGACTAGAAAGGGCAGCACAAGGGAATTTAAGGAGGTCATGATACTGTGCTGTATTTTGGGTATGGTGGTGGTCACATGACTGTATGTCACGGCTGAAACGTGAAGCGCTGTTCATTTTAAAAGGGTGAATTTGGGGGCGCCTGGGTGGCTCAGTGGGTTAAGCCTCTGCTTTCGGCTCAGGTCATGATCTCAGGGTCCTGGGATCGAGCCCTGCATCCGGCTCTCTGCTCAGCGGGTAGCCTGTTTCCCCCTCTCTCTCTGCCTGCCTCTCTGCCTACTTCTGATCTCTGTCTGCCAAATAAATAAATAAAATCTTTAAAAAAAAAAAAAAAAGAATGAATGAAGACTGCTTCTGTCTAGGTGTCCTCTCAATTTCTGACACATCCTATGAATCATGGCCCCATCTCACAAAGGTATGTACTTGATGTGAAAATCGAAACTGCATTCTTTTCCGGAGGAAAGTGATTCCTACAAACAAACATGAGGAGAAATTGCTAGCAGCTAGGAGACAACGAGAAAGACAAATAGTATATTTTGAACTCCTTGCATCATTGTAATATACTGACAAAACTTCTGGGAACAGAAAGACTCTGGATTACAACATGGATTTACAAACTGAAATGTCATCTATTAACATAAAATAGATATAAAATGCCCAGAAAATGAAATCCTCCTTTCCCTTACAATCTCTTTGTAGAGACCAGAAAACAAATACATTTTATAGAAATAAAGAAAAAAGGGGAAAGATAAAGGGTAGAACTGGAAACAGAAATTGGGTCAGAATGCAACTTGTCCATCGGTTCTTCAGGCCGATTCTCCCATTTCCCAGTTCATTTGCACCTGTCAAGAAATTTTTTTAGGGGCGCCCTGGGTAGCTCAGTCATTAAGTATCCGCCTTTGACTCAGTTCATGATTCCAGGGTCCTGGGATCAAGCCCCACATCAGGCTCCCTACTCAATGGGAAGCCTGTTTCTCCCTTTCCCACCCCCGCCCCCGCTTGTGTTCCCTCTCTTACTGTGTCTCTCTCTGTCAAATAAATAAATAAATTCTTAAAAAAAAAAGAAAAGAAAAATATTTTTTTAAAAATGTATTTATTTATTTGAGAGAGAGAGCACAAGGAGGGAGGGAGGAGGAGCAGAGGGAGAGGGAGAAGCAGGCTCCCCACTGAGCAGGGACACCCAATGCTGCAGATGCCAGGGCTCAATCCCAGGACCCTGGGATCATCTGAGCCAAAGGCAGGTGCCCGTTTCAGGAAATTTATCTGAAACTCCTTTCTCCCCCCAAACTCTGGCCCCACAGGACAGAACTAGTCTATCTTGTGCTCAAAATCCTCTAACACTTACTAACCCTTTTTGTGGATCTTTTCATGATGATAATATTTACTGAATTTACTGTATGCTAAGAACTGTACTAAGTGATACACTATCTCTTATAACCTTCATAGAACCCCGCAAGGTAGGTGCTATCATTACTCATATCATAGTTAAGAAACTGAGGCACAAAAAGTTTCCCTTATTTGCCAAAGTCACATGGCCAATACATGGTGAATCAGAATTTTATCCCAGGTAGTCTAATCTCTGCTACATATATCAATTCTCTGAATTGCTATATGTAAAGATTAAGTCATTCATTCAACAACTACTGAGTCCCAAGCACTAATTCACATACTAAGGATAGACAAATTGATAAGACAAGGTTCTGCTCTCCCCTGAAGGAACTTCTGGTCTAGCTGGGCAAGACTAACAACAAAAAGACATACAATACACTGAGTTTATCCAGTGTGGGGGAAGCGGTGCGGGGGGGGACAGGGAAAACTTGGGAGTAACACAGAAAGCTCCTCAGGATTGTCTGCGTCTATCACAGCAGCATGAGTGTCCCGTATCTTAGTCTCCCATAGTTCCTAGCAGGTTGTGGACAAACATTGCTGGATGAATAGCTTAAAGGTGGTCTACCTCCTAGAATTCTGTTGTGTCGGTAGCTACTGCCACTCTAAAAGTCTGCTCAGAAAGATGTGACAAGTAGCCAAAAACTAATTTATCTTCCTCTCCATTGTATGCTTCATTCATTGACGTTCAGTAAGTATTTATTGATGGCTGACAGAATCAGCCACTGTTCTTAGCATGGAGTACAGTGGTGAACATACCACATAAAGACCCTGTTCTCATTCAAGTGGATGAATCCATCAAAGAAATAACAAAAAAAAAAAAAAAGAAAGAAAGACAAAAAACAAACAGAAACAAAATCAAAGAAAATACAACTACAAAAACAAAACAAACCTGAACAAGATCATTTCAGTTAATTTGAAGTGCTACAAAGAAAATAAAATGAGGAAATACAATCAACAGTGACTATCAGGTGTTGATTTAGGTTGGGAAGACCAGGCGGCGTAGGGAGCATTTAAACTGGTGCGTGTTGGTTAAAAAATTCTTTATTTTACTTTTATTTTTAGAGAAACAAAGGAAAAACTAGAAACCCTGTCCAAAATCAGGAGCCAAAATTAACCTGTGTCACTGACAAGGAATTGCAATAATATTTTTTCCCAAAATTTATACATAACTCAAATGTTATCAGAACAGATGCTGTTTACACATTCACCAATTTTATGTAAAACTGATTTGCTTTCCATAAGCAGTGGTCTTGCTTTATTTCAGAAAATAAATTTTAGCTGTTTTGCATTTTTTTTTTAAACCCTTATGATGGCTTCTAAAAAGGCAGGGGAGGGGGGCATTAAAGAGCTACCGCATCAGCAGGGGTCCTGGCAAAAGGATGCAAAAACTTATTTCCATAACACTAAGGTTTTCATTTTAAAAGCACAATATTCAAATATAACATCTGAAAGAATGTAACATGTAACACAACATTCCATATTTCAAAACCCTTTAAAAAGACTACTGGAAGGAAATGGTGTATATAGAATAATGAAGTTATTTTTTTACTAATGTTGCAAGGAAATGGACATCAGGTTTTAAAAAATTAATTAACACTGATTTTGGCAAGTCATTTAACTGCTACGAGCCTCCATTTCTTTCCCACAGGTAAAATGACATTAGAGGATCCCTCATGGGTCCTTCCAGCCCTAAACGCCCTAAGAAAATAGAAGGTAAATGATTCAGAAACTTTACTGCATGAGGAAGGCAGGTGTTATGGTGGGCACTTTTTAAAACTTGTTTGTTTGGGGTTCATTTTTATGACAATGCTCATCTGATGCAATAGTTCAGGAAACGTTGTACAAGTGGGAATATTTCCTATATATCAACGGAAAACCCGGGAAAGGAAAACAGTTGTGATGCTCAAAAGGAAAGCTACACAGCTAAAAACGTTTGATCAAAGAGCGCTATAATAATAGAATCACCGAAAAGGAAACGGTCATTTCCACCACTTTTATTCTATTTCCTTTCTTATCCTCTCCTGCAGAGAGAAGCCCAGTTTTAATTTTTTCCAAAATCCGAAAGAGGCAGCAAAAGCCAAAGAAATCCTTGCACGTTTTTTTATTAAAGAAATCGACAAAATATTTAAGAGGCACTAGGTGTCCACACCTATCATCAATCTTCCTTAGCACCGAGGACGCCGTTTCCAAATATTACCACCAGCAGCCCTCACTCCACTGCAGCCGACACTCATCACCATCCATTTTTTTTTTTTTTTTTAATCCATTTACGCTGAGCCTTTCATCCAAACGCATCAACAACCATTTCCTCCCTGCAGCCGTGGTTTGGACTGCCCGGAACGTCCAGCCAAGCCGGGGCTGAGTCCTGCCAACAGGGAGACTGCAGACTGCGGTGCTGGGCAGTGCAGGGCCGCTCCGGCCGCCGCACGCTAAAGCTTTCCGCCTCCTCCCGAGTGATTTAAGAGGGTTCGGGACCCAGATAAGACCCCGCCCTTGCAGCCACGACCCCGGAACGGGAGGAGGAGAGAGGCGGCCTCGGCTCAGCAGAGCCAAGCCTTTGGAAAAACAGGCTGCTCCTCCCCAGCGGCCAGCAGCGGCCGGGGCTGGGCGAGCGGCGCGTCGCGGCCGGTGCGCGCCGAGCGGCTCCCAGGTGGGTCTCCGCAGCCAGGGACCGCGGCTCGGGCTCCCGGAGGGGGTGGGGGTGGCGGCGCGGGCCGCGATCTCGCTCGTCACGATTCACCAAGCAGAGTGGAAAAGAGGGAGGGACTGGAGGCAGAAAACGGAACGGAATCAGGGAGCTCGGGGAATAAAGAAGGCAAGGAAGGGGAGAGGGGAAGGGGGAGAAGGTGATGGGAATGAAGAATGGGGGTGCACGGAAGGGTGATGGTTGCAGAAGGGGAGGGTAATGGGCTGCGGGGGATAAAGGCGAGGTGGAAGGGAGGGATGGGGTGCTGGGTTCGTGAAGGGGGAGGAAGAAGGAATGGCGTGAAGGGGGATGGGGTGAGGGGGAGAGAAATGGAGGTGAGGAGGGAGCGATGGGGTGGTAAGGAGGGAAGAGCGGGATGGGGATGCAGGGGAGAGATGGGTGAAGGAGGATGGGGTGAAGAGGGACGGGGTGGGATGCAGGGGGAGGAATGCGGGACGGGGAGAGCGGGGGAAGCAGGGAAGCGGGCGCCGGCCGCAGGAGGCCGGGAGGGACTTCCCAGCGAGGAGGGCGGCGCCGGAATAACGGGACCCTCCCAGCCCCGAGCCCCCGGCCGGGCGGGGCGAGCAGCAGGCGCGGAGGCCGGGGCGCCTCGGGCAGGTACGGCGCCCCTCTCCTGCCTGGCAGCCCGCGCCTGCGGGAGGACCCCGACTCCACTTACTCTCTCCGACCACGGCTTTGAGGCCAATGGGAGCCATCGCGCTGCGCGAGTCTCCGGGCTCCGAGTCTCCTCAGGCGACGCCCGCGGACACGACTACCTCCCCGGGTCGGCGCGCTCTGCCGGCTGCAGCCCTCCGCTCCGCAGCGGCGCTCGGGCTCGACTGACGCGCGGACTCGCCGCGGAGGCGCGGCGCAAGCCAGAGCGAGGCTGCCGACCTGCCGGCGCGCGCTCGCGGGCGGGGCCGGCCAGGGGCGGGGCCTTGTGCCAGCCGTCAGCGTCACCCGCGCGCCTCCGCCAATCGCACTGCGGCCCGGGAGCTCGGCCCCGCCCTCCGAGATGCGGCTGGACGCGAGGCGGTCCCTGGCTGGCGCGAAAGCCGCGCCCTCCCCCTCACCTCACGCGCCGCGCGCACCCTGCCAGTCGCGCGCTCCGGGGGCGCAGGGTCCTAAAGTCCTCTCCGCCCGCCTCTGCACCTGGCCACAGGCTACTGACAAGCTCCCTCTTCCTGAAACCACGTTCTGTCCTGTCTTTCCCGTTTCTGGGAATCCTCCATTTTTCGCCTGCCGGCATAAGGAACTCAGAGACTCCTCACCACAAGATAACTGGAGGTTTATCGACATCATCTCTGTCTGGGTACCTGTATCCACATACACACCGTTCACTGAGCTCTTATGGGTCAGGCTCCACGCTAAGCGCTTTACTGCATCATCTCATTAAATCCTCACAGTAATTAAGAATTGTTTTTAATCTCCATTTTCAGATGGAAAAAAAAAATACCCGAGGCTCAGAGAATTGAGCACTAGAGTTCCTCTCAGAATGTGTAACATTCATTAGCAAATATTGAGTGGTCCCCCACTACTCTATGCAAGCTACTATTCTGGGCATTGGAGCTACAACCCTCTACTAGGCAGACTCGATCAGAGTCTCTGGGCACTTAAAAGGCTAGAAATTTCCAAGTCCCAAGTCTGATAGGAATATGCTGTAGGACAACTCAGGTCTCAGCATCTCCTTACAGGAGTCCACATTACCAAAGTGGTCCCGAGTCAGTTTTTGATGGACTTTTTATTAAGATTTTATTTATTTACTGGACAGAAGGAGAGAAAGAGAGAACACAAGCAGAGGGCGTGACAGGCAGAGGGAGAGAGAGGCAGGATCCCATGCCCTGGGATCATGACCTGAGCTGAAGGCAGCCGCTTAACCCCCTGAGCCACCCAGGAGGTACCCCTTTGATGGACTTTCTTTATTGATGGGGGAGGTTCCTTTTGAAATATGGCACAGGACTCACCTCTGGCTTCAAAGAAAAGCAAATAAGTGGAGCCCATTAAAAAATCAGAAAAGACAGGAGAGCTAAAAGTCATAAAATCAGTGAATACTCATTAAATTTTTAGAATAACTCTGTGAGCTAAGTCCTCTTTTCTTAATATTATTAAGAAATGTAATAATATGGGGCGCCTGGGTGGCTCAGTGGGTTAAAGCCTCTGCCTTCGGCTCAGGTCATGATCTCAGGGTCCTGGGATCAAGCCCCTCATCGGTCTCTCCGCTCAGCGGGGAGCCTGATTCCGCCCCCCCCACCCCATCTGCCTACTTGTGATCTCTCTCTCTGTCAAATAAATAAATAAAATATTTTTTAAAATTGAGATTCAGAGAGGCTAAGAGCTTTGTTAGTAAGTGACAAAGGAAAGATCCAATTCCAGAATCTGAATTCTGAATCATTATTTTACACCAAACAGTTAAAGCAGCTGAGGCCCGTAGGAGGGCTTTCCAAAGGTCACACACAGTAAGGAATGGCAGAACCAGGATGAGAGTTCACATGTGCCAGTTCAGCTACCAGCCCCAGGGCAGGAAGATTTGACCATCTTCTTGTCCCCACCCCAATCCACACCAACAGAACTTTCACGTGGCTTCACATGTCTATCATTTCATGTCTGGGTTCTGCCTTTTACCCAAGGAAGGTATTGATCCTCTCAGGGTGCATTTGGGGAAGGAGGAGATAATTTGTAAATGTGAGGGAACTTGTCATGCTGCATGCTCCACCCCTTAGCCAGCAAGGACTGTCCTCAAGGAGCCAGTATTCTGGCTGAGAAGACAGCAAGAATCAAGGAGTCAGACACAGCATTGAGTGACTGTCCTAATAAGTGTTGAAGCAGGGCAGGGGCTGTGAGAGTAACAGAGCACTTGACCCAGTGGACCTGGGGAAGTACAGTCTACAGGCTTCCTGAGATGAGTAAAGGGTAGCAAGAGAGGCCTGGGAGAGTGTCAGATATACAAACAGGAAAAGGCAGATATACAGAAAATGCAAAGACCAAGTGCCAGGAATTTGGCTTTTCCAGGAACAGAGAGGGCCAGTGTGGCTGGAGGGGAGACTGAGGGGCAGGATAGAGAGGAAAGACCCCAAGGGTAGGCCTCACTGCAAGGCTCTAGGACATTTTGGTAACCTGGAATCTGTGTGGGGACTTCCTCAAAGGTCACAGGCTAATAAAATATAGCAGCTTGTTATTTTCTGCAGAGGGGAGGACAAAAAAAGAAATCTTTTCCTGTGGATGTGTACCTGAGATGTTCACTACGGAGGGCAAAAATCAGAACGGTTGTTATTCTAAATAGAATGGTTGAAAAAGCAAGTGGGGTGACAGACTGTGAACTCACCCCGGAACCCCTGACTCTGGAGCGGCGGATTGGAATCCTCCTGGATGTGGAAGCCAAGACGGGCTTGAGACCTCCTGACATCTCTGAGCTTTGGCTTCCACATCTGTGAAACAAGGACAATAGAACTTCCTGGCCTCAGAGGAGACTGCGAGATGACCTACACGGTAAGGTAAAAGCCTCCCCCAGTCATCACGCCTATCGCCCTTTACTCTATATTCTTTATTTGCATACACGTTTGATACACCCCAGCCACCAGGCAAGGGGCCCTCATGAATTTTCATTGAATTCTCACTACAGCCCCAAGAGGTCAATGCTATTATTATTTAATTTTCCTGGTGCGCAGGGAGGTCAAGTCACTTGCCCAAGGTCACATGGCTCTAAGCGCAGACCGGGGACTCGCGCTCTTTCTGATGCCCAGGGGAGCACATCCACGCCCAGGCGCAGCCCCAGTGCCCTGACCCTCTCTTTAGAGAGGTCTGGCTGTGTGGACTGCTAGCTGGGAGCATATCAACAACCAGAACCTGTACGAACTGGAAATCCGTATAAGAGCCCTCTGCCCCGCGCCCAGCCCAGCCAGAGCGCGCGGCGGGGCTGCGTCCGCAGGATGAGCTGGGCTGGTCCGCGGCCGGGCAGGTGCGCTTGCAGCTGCGCATGCGCGGCCTGCAGCCTCTGCAGATCCCTGGTGCGGACCAGCTGCTGGGGGTAGGAAGAGTCCTGCGATTTACGCACGGGTCATGTGACGGCGGGGTGCTCGGTTGTGGCTGGGCGGGTGCACCCCCAGGAGACAGGCAGGTGGAGGCGGGTGGGGGTGGTGGGGGATGGATGCAGAGCGGAGGAGGGAAAAACTGGAGGTCTGAGCGTAAGGGCGGTGAGCCGCGTAGAGGGACCAAGAGAGGGGAGAGAGGGACAGACGAGCCGGAATCGGCAATGGGGCTGACCAAGTTGAGACAGAAGCAACCAGTATAGTTGTTGCCACCAAACCTGACACAGTGGACCCACTGGCTTGGGTCCCCTACACACCTTCTCCCACAGTCTCGGGCTTACACCTAACTCCTGCGCTTTAAAGCCGCATCATCAATTGCATGTTTCTGTGTTCACCTCCACCCCTTCCCATGGCCACTGGACCTTTAGATTCCGCTACATTCTTTTAGAAGCAGTTTCGAAAGATTTCAACAAGATAGTATTTATAACATTATTTACCTAGTACTGGGTACCTAGTAAGGATTCAATGAACCTTAGCTATTAACACCATTAAAAATAACATGATGCTGTGTCCTGCCTTTATTGCTGCTGTAGGTTCTTGGCAGAGAATGACAAAGTAATTGTCTCCATCACAGCCACCCACAGTCCCCAAACCTACAAAGAGCTGCTGGGCCTGGAGTCCTTGAGTTTGGAACATCCTTGCCCCCAAAAGTGAGTTAACAGATTTTTGTATTTGAGGTCAGAATATAATATTCAGAAGGCTTTGTTTTCAAAGTCTAGGCCAGGGTCTCAAGTTCAAAGGACTGTAGAGGCCATGGGGTGGTGAGTAACAACCACAAATGTGGCCAACAGCAGACTACATGCCTTGCCCAGAGGGGCAGTCCTTACTCAGTTCCAATCATGGAAACTGTTTTCCGGGCAGCAGCCGAGGATCTCAATGGTAAGAATTGTGATCTCTCCCAATGGTTAAGTATTGCTATGGACTAAAAATATTTTTTTTTAGTAACCCCGCCATTGGTCAAACAAAACACATCTGAGGGCCACATCCAGCCTTCAAGGCACCTGGATGCAGAACTCTGGGGGACCAAAGGGAAAATTTGGATTCCCCCATTCAGCAGGCTTCCAGAGAGGCCCTGACTTTTACCCCACTCCCACAGAGCCCCATTGTGGGCGGGCTCTGGACAGGCATAGTGGGAGTGTGAATGCCTGGCATCAACCACCAAAACCTTTCCCACTCAGCCTTGAGAACCAGGACAGAGTCCCTTTGCTCAGCCTGGCTCTGGGGCAGAGAGTAGGGCGAGCCACTTTCGAATGGACTAGTGAACAGTGTAGTGGAAGCCTCTGCAGACAGCTGATGCGGGCAGTTCCGATTTGCCTGGACTGTGTAAATCCCAGGAATAAGGAAAGAGCCACCCCCAAATGCCAGATACTAGAAGTCCCTGTGACCTTAGCCAGTGTGGGCTTAAAGCTGGTTTTGTTTTGTTTGTTTTTTAAAGATTTTTCTTATTTGACAGAGACAGAGTGAGAGTGAGCACAAGCAGGGGGAGAAGCAGGCAGAGGGAGAGGAAGGAGTGGGCTCCCTACCAGGTAAGGAGCCTGAGGAGGGGTTCGATCCCAAGACCCCAGGATCACAACCCAAGCTGAAAGCAGACACTCAACCAACCAAGCTGCCCAGGCATCCCCTTAAAGCTGGTTTTATTTGATTTAGAAAAATAAAGAAATATGGTGTTTTTTACACTGTAGATACCAGAGAACAATTTGTGTCTTT